CTCTTCATCCACCAGAAAGCATGCGTGTACGTCCTTCTGTGCCCATGAATGCAATGTTCCCTCTAAGCTGCAGAGTCTTGTGAGCAAAAATTCTACTTTGTGAGCTACTGGCATTAAAGTTGTGAGCGAGCCATTTGCCTACTGCATAAATTAGTTTGCTCTGGAGCCACATCCTTCCTGAGCGAAGACAAAAATGTGTGAGCCGGAGGCTAACCAATTGTGAGCTAGCTCACACTAACTCAGCTTAGAGGGAACACTGCCCATGAGCAGTGTTCCCTCCAAGCTGAGTTAGTGTGGAGCTAGCTCACAATTGGTTAGCCTCCGGCTCACACATTTTTGTCTTCGCTCAGGAAGGATGTGGCTCCAGAGCAAACTAATTTATGCAGTAGGCAAATGGCTCGCTCACAACTTTAATGCCAGTAAGATCACAAAGTAGAATTTGTGCTCACAAGACTCCGCAGCTTAGAGGGAACATTACCCATGAGTTCTCTGGTGATACACACAGGCCCACGTACAGTCATCAGGGCAGCCAGACTCATCATCCCACCTTTCTCTCTCTTTTTTCGGTACTTTTGCATTTGTGTGTGTGTGTGCCCTGTGCCTGGAAGACATGGCAACCTCTGGCAACTCCTACTGGGGCACGGAGGATGTTCAGAGAAGTGGCTTAATAGCCTGACTCTGGCCTCCCAACCCGAGTATTCTCTGGAGGTCTCCCATTCAAATGCTTGCCAGGATCGGCCCTGCTTAGTTTCCAAGATCTGACTAGATCGGGCTTGCATGGACTATCCAGGTCAACAACAACAACAACAACAACAACAAATACCTTTTATTGGCATAAAATATTAAACAGTTGCCATTGGGGTAAAACAATCCTATAAAATTTGTGGAAAATAAATAACTTCTAAAAGCATTACAAGGTATGGCTATTTATATAAGCTTAAAATTATAGCAAGATAAAATTTGCCCAACCGCAGAACCTTGAATTAAATTATGCAACTCATTGATCTCAGTTAGAATGATCAGGGACATTTTTCCGTTTTATAAGAGCATAAAAGAACTTGGCAGTCAATTCAATAATCTCCGAATCCCGGGAAGTAAGGAGGTAGTGTAGCTTGCTTCCATCCGGTTGGCATGCAACCTTGCTAAGGGGGACTTCCAGAAATTTTGCTCGAATGTCATTTAGCAGGTTACAGCGTAAAAGTACATGCTCAACTGTTTCTAGTTCTCTCTTATTGCATCCGCAATATCTAATTGCATAAGGGATTTTCTTATATCTCCCCTCAAGAATGGCGGAGGGGAGAACATTGAACCGTGCTAGCATGTAAGCTCTGCACAATTGCGGTGATATCAGGGAGAAAAAATATTGTGGTGGAGCACCAGAGAGTGGATAGGCCCATCTAACTGAGGAACACCTACCGGAAGCAAGAGCTCTGAGCTCTTGCATTTCTATATCGATAAGTCTCTGCTTAAGCAGAGTAAAAACCTCCGGCTCTGTTAAATTGACAAAATCATTCAGATTAAAGCCAATAGAATTAATTTTCTTTTCAATAGCCAAGAGCCAGGCAGAGGGATGTGAATCTTTCAACATATAGGCAACAAGGCTATTATGAGTGCATCGGAAATGCAATCGCAGCCAGAATCTAAAGGTGATGATCCACGCCTTTGTCTCGACTATCCAGGTCATGGCAGTGTCCTCCCCCCCCTTCTCAAAACAAAGTTTCTAGACAAGTTCTAGAGAAAAGGGATGGCTTAATAAACTAACAAAGGCCCCGGTCACATGGGAGGATTTGATCTGCAAGAGGGACGGGTCGGGAGCGCGTCAAGCGGGCGCGATCACACTGCAACATCTGGGAAGTGGTGCGCACCCGTCCCCAATCCAGCCCTTCGGCCCACAAACGCGCATCAAAAAGCTACTAGCAAAAGAGCAGTAACTACCGGATGATGCGCAGCAACAGAAGGCGTCTGGTCGGGGAAGCGCTGGTAGCCCATTGCAGCCAGCGCCGTCCCCCATCCCACGCATGTGCACAACCGCGCTACTGCCGGTTTGCTGAGCAACGTGTGATCGGCTGCCAGAGCAGGGAGCTCGGAGCCGCAGGGGCACGTCAGATCGCGCGTTCTTTTTGCTCCGGCTCTGTTTTGCCTCCCTTCAGCAGCAGATCATCTCATTCGTGTGAGCGGGACCAAAGTCACTAGCCACTGAGAACATGCAGAGTGCTTTCCAGCCTTTTCTCCTGCACTTTTATCAATCCAGGTGTCCCAACCAAGGGCTAGGACTCTAAGCTCTTGCCACCTCCTCTTATTTACCCTTCTTTGCTCCTTGGCAGGTAGATGCTACAAGAGGGTTAAAACTTCTTGGGAATGAAGCCTGCTGAGTTCTAATTTCCTGCACTTTCGATTGGGGGAAAACACCGTAATGCAACATGTAAGCCTCGGAGTTCTTCCTCACACCACCCCTCGCCAATGAGGTGGATTTTGGAGCAAGGGACCACCCCCACGCACATCAGCTACTGGCAACCCAATGTCATCAAACCCTACAGTTCCAGCTAATACTGTGGGCCTAGACCAGTGATGGCGAACCTTTTAGAGACCGCGTGCCCAAACTGCGACCCAAAACCCCACTTATTTATCGCAAAGTGCCAACACGGCAATTTAACCTGAATACTGAGGTTTTACTTTAGAAAAAACAACTCATGCATTAACTTAATATGATCCAAACAAAGTAAGGAAAGCAATCCCAAATGCTTTCACTTACTTAAAATTATTTGGCAGATAATTCAACACTTTAAGGATGGTCTGGGCCTGGCTGGGGCGATGGCACACGTGCCCACAGAGAGGGCTCTGAGTGCCACCTATGGCCCCCGTGCCATAGGTTCACCACCACTTGCCTAGACGTTGACAGGGCTCTCCTTGCTGCTGTTCTCAGGTCATGGCATGTAGAAATATCCAGTGCTGATGCTGCCTTTGGAAGCATCCTGTTGAAACACAGGATTACGGACTGCAAACCAAAGAATAAAGGCCAGGACCGATACACCTTTGACTGTTGGCAAGCTGTGCTTATAAATGTATTTCAGCTGTATTGTGCAATTGCTTATGTGTATGAACTGTATCTGCATCTGTATGTATGGGTTTGGGAATGCTGTGTAGTCTGACTGCAAGAGGCTGTGCCCATGTGCTGCTTGCACCAACATGCTAATGAGGACACACACACACCTACCCACCCTGCCTTGGGACAGAGAAGGCCTTCACCATTATGCTCAGCTGAAAGACTTTTACAAACAACAACTATTCCACCATCAGGTGTTCCTGGAATGGCAGGTAACCCCTCTTCTGGTTTGCATCACAAGAGAAGACATCCTGTTTAATGCTCTTGGGCCAAGCCAACAGATCTACATCAAAAGGGTTTCCATGGCAATGTAGCTTTCACATCTTGACCAAATGGTCCCATTGAAGTTAGGGTTAGAATTTGAATATTGCTCCACTCCCTCTAGGTAGACACGTCACATCTCCCTGCCCAATAGGTATAGGACATGGGACGGACTACAAGGACAGGAGGTGGCACTCATGCCCACCTCTAAACCAGGTGATAAAAGGGCCAAGCATCCTTTGTCTGGTGCTAGCCATCCCCCCCCCCACCTAAGGTAACTACAGCTCTACTAAGGTAATTCTTACGTGCTTCTTGGATCGCGACCAGGAAAGCCCACACGTGTTTGGCTGGTTTCCAACCGTGTGTCTAGAGTCCCTCCAGCTAGATCTCTGGTTTCCGTTTTGCTCCGTTGGGAAGATCAAACCCCATCTTCAGGATCAGATAAGTATATTCGCTACCTTGTGTGTCACCACCTGGTCTGTTGAACCTTACTCCATCTTCTGGAATCTGATAAGTATATTCTGCATCCTTTTGTGTGTTGTCACCCCGTAAGTTAAAGTTTATTATTTTCTATATACTAAATGTTTCCATTTCTATTGCATCTAAAGGAACTTGTGAGTGTGTGTGTGAACGAATCTGTTTATTTGTATGCATGTGAATTCCAATACTATTTAGTAAAGACATTGTTTATTCTTTAAACATCCAGTGTTGTGTTGTCTCTTTCTAAAGGGGAGAAAGGAGTGTCTTTTCTGGTTCTGATCTCTGTATACAGTTGGTCACAAGAACTCAGAATAAGCCCCCGTTGTATATAAAACGGATTTGGGCTAGTGGATAAATCCTCCACAAGAGGACTTCCGCTAACACCTTTGACTCTGGCCTTTCGACTCGTGACTGCACAACCAAGTGATCAAGAAAAGGCTTAAGGTACCGAGTGTGCCGCATGAAGGAATGAGCTCCCGTCTCTAGTTACAGCTCCTGCCAACCTAGCAGTTCGAAAGCAAGAAACTACAAGTAGACAAATAGGTACCACTTCGGTGGGAAGGTAACAGCGTTCCGTGCGCCTTGATGTTTATTCATGCCGGCCACATGACCACGGAAACATCTTTGGACCGCGCTGGCTCTTTGGATTCGACTGGCTTTCGAGCAAAAGAACCTTTACCTTTACTACCTGCAAAGGAGGGAGGGGCAGATGCTCTGACACAGACTTTGTCCAGGTGGTTCAGATGTTCCTAACTGCATGCCATCCTTCTATGAATTTCTACAACAGACACACCCTCTTGGACCTGGATGATGTTTATGAAGCTTTCTCAAAAAACTATTATCTAAGTTTGAAAAAGTGAATACGCCTGGCTCCAGGGTGGCAAACAGGTATCAGAGGACCTTATTGCTGGGAAGAAACAATTATGTGCGGTACTAATTGATCTCTTTTAATGTTTGTAGACCGGTTCTTCCGCATGTCCTATTACACTATGACACTATGGGATGTCTGGGAAAATGCCCGGCCTCAATTCTCATCGTTTTCAGGACCTCACCGATCCAGTTGTTCCCACCTGTTGCCTTGAGGCTCCTAGCCCTTGGCTTATAAACCCCTTTGATTCCCCTGTTTCAGCATCAGCTGCCTTTGTCGATTCATCTCTGATCCAAGTCCTCTCCTCCTCTCTGGCTTTCCCATTTTCGGGTACCATGAAGGCACTCCTAAGCACATGCCTCCTATGGGCCCTCTTTTCTACAGGTGAGTAGGAACTCAAACTCCAGGGAAGGGAATAATCGCATCTGGGAACTTAACATGGAGTGGCCTACAGCTTGGAGACGAAGAACCTCACGAGGGTTCCAAAGAGAAAAGGGATTATATCACGTAACAAGAAGGATCCCTACATAGCAGGTATCTTGAATGGGGGATAGGAGGTCTAGTAGGATGCAGTGTGAAGCTTGGGGGACGAGGCCAGAGTTTTGTCAGACATGGGGAGAGTATCAAAAGTGGGTGGAAAGAACCAGAAGTCCTTGCTTCTTTGGAGGAAGAAAATGAGGACGAAAAGATTCCTGGGCTTACCTAGAAGAGCCAGGGGAAAATAAACTCATGGACTTTCAAGTCAGTATCAATATTGGTGCGTTAGTGACCCAAGATGATAGGCAGGTACACATTGCATGCATCCAGTGAAGCAGGCTGTTGCTTGTGGAAGTTAATCCACAAAATACCACCGATATGTACAAAAGGGTCTAGAGGCTTGTAGTAAAATGACAGGAAGGAGTCCTTCGTTAGTGGGGTTCGGAGGAAACAAGCAGGGCCTTGTTGGACATTTCACTGCAATGCCAACTCCTGTCCCTCAAAATTGCCCACAGGTTCTATACTGTGGGGGTCCCTGCTACGGCATACACCAAGACCGCCAAGGGGTACACAAAGACTATTTATGGCTGAAATTAGACGTAAATGTGGGACCGCCTTGTACTTAGCCCTTGGTAAAATCATATACAAAAGATGGGACGGGTGGTCTAAACAGCTAACAGGACCTGAATCCTTCTCTCCCACTTTTGTGGCTAATCTCTAGACTGTCCATAAAGGGTGGGAAACCCAAATGCATACCCAAAACTCTAAGAACAAGTCGAATGCAGCCAGGGAGGCATATAAGGCTCAGGCTGACAAGAGAAGGGTGGAGGGTTGGGCTCTGCAGCCTGGGGATTCGGTGTATGTGTCTACTAAGAACATTAAAGTGTTGCAGCCCAGCTATAAACTAGGGTGGAAATATATAGGGCCGTTTAAGTCAAAACGGGTGATTAACGAAGTGGCTGTGGACTTGGAGCTGCCCAAGAACTTGAGCGATATCCATTTCTGTATTTGATTTCAGCCTCCTGAAATGGGCTTTGGGCTCAAGGCTGGGGACCCATTCTCCCACGCGCTGGAGTCAGGCTGATTGGCCTAGGAGTGGGGAGGGGGTGCGTACGAATACCCTATATCCCATTATGCTTGTAGGAAAGCAGCCATTCCTAATAGTGACGATGTTACTGCCTCTATAGCTCTTACAATAAAGTATAACCTTATGATAAGCATGTACTCCTTTGTTTGGCTGTGGAACCTCAATTTACAGGAAATTGCTGCAACAGTTCAAACATTCACAAAATGAGGACAATCATGTATTGGCATTCCCATGTTGTTTTATCAAAATTCCCTTCGAAACGAACATTGAAACTCGAGGAGGTTCATAAGCATTTCAGTGACTTGATGTCCTGACCTGTTGAGAAAAGAAATTCTGGATTAAAACAACATGGAAAGGCCAATACATTATTGTCCTCATTTTGTGAATGTTTGAACTGTTGCAGCAATTTTCTGTAAATTGATATATTTTGATTGCTGTGGCCTTTAGTTATATTGGCTGTGGAACCTGACAGCTGGCCCCAAGAGTTCAGCCCTATAGAGCAACAGGTGCTGTGCCAAAAGGCCAGCTCTGCTACACTTGGGGGGAGGATCCACACAGCTCCTGTGAAAGCTCTAGGTACTGGCCCTCAGTCTGTCATTGACAAAGGAGATCCCAATAAGAGTGGGTTTGACGGGCACGTCCAGGAGATTTTCTTCCTCTTGGTTAATTTCACTTGCATGCAGGCTGAGTTGCAGGAAGGGTCAAAAGGGACCGGTTCTTGCCTTGAGCATATCCAATGTGGAGATCAGGTGGGCAGCCCAGCAGGAAGGGCTGTGTGCAGAGACACAGAGCTGATATAAGGAAGCTGTTCCACAACCTGTTTTCTAAAATCTCATTAAATCTTAAGCCCTTATAGAAACAAGGAGGGAAGGCATCGTAGGGTTACCAACCTCAGGGTGGGGTTTGGAATATTCTGATCTCCAGATCACACAGGCCAGATATCGTGGGGGGGGGGGGAGGCATGGCAAATTGCCCCAGCGCAGTTTGACCCACAATTATATGATCAGATGCGCCGGTGGCACACCACAGGTTCTTCCCTCGGCGCCAGTGCGTAAACAAGGGGCCATAGGGGAAAGCCGCGAGCCTGCGCAATCACACCACGGGCATCCAGAGGCAGCCTGTGGCAAACTGTTTGCCAGTACTTTGGAGGTACTACTTTTTTATCGCGCATTTTCGGCGGTAAGCCACGGGTTGGCCACAGGTGCACTCCACTTCCCAGAAGTTGGGGTGTGATCGCGCATGGATAATCCGCCCAGCACTCGTGGCTCTCCCGTGGCAAATTCGCCATGTGAACAGGGCCAGAGTACAGTTTCCCTGGAGGAAATGGCAGCTTCAGAGGGTGGACTCCATGGCATTACAGCCTTGCTGGGGTCCCACACTGCTCTGAAACCCTGCTCTCCTCAGGCATGGCCCCCAAATCTCCAGGAATTTCTCCCTCTGAAGTTGGCAACCTTAAGGCACTGGATTCTAAGAAACTGTGTTCTCGGTTTCCAGCATTGTGGCTAATAACTGAAAGGTGCGGTTAACATGTGGTTTATTGCAAGTTAACTCCATTTTGTCCAAATTATGCATTACATTTAAGATCTTTCCAAATGAAATACATATGCAAACTTGTGCTTAGGTTTTTGGTTTCTAATCTGAAAGCATACGCTTCTTCTGCTTTGGATCATTCAATTAACTCCGAGATAATGCTATCGTTCTAAATGGAAATAACGGTGTGCTCTGTCAAATTTAGTATGAATTACATAGCTGGCGCCGATTCTCTTTCCTGTTTGCAGTGGCATCACTGATGTGTTACTCGTGTCAGAGCCTAACAGGGCCATGTGCTTATCCTGTACATCAAACCTGTATCGCTGGTCAAGATTCCTGCCTTTCCACCGTTGGAATAAGTTCATTCCGTGAGTAAAAACAGGATATCTGCTTAAGAAGTTGCTCAACTGACGATGGCTCCCTATAACATCAGAAGATAAAATATCACCCAAAAAATTGGTGTCTTCATATAGGGCTGCAAAACCAAACAAAGGTTAGTGAAAAAGAGGGCCAATATTAAAACCTTTCCATAAAAAATAAAAAGAGATAAATGTATTTATTAATAATAACAATTTTTAAAACATATATAGAGGCCCATTTGCAACTAATACATATAAAATATAACAATATCCAGGGCTTACAAAGTTGACCTTACGCGTTTCGGCCAAATAGGCCTTCTTCAGAGGTCATACATAAGTGGCGAGATAATTATATTTTCATAAACACAATCAATAATATATATAAAATATAGAGTCAATGAGGACCATAAAGCAGATTGTTCAAAAGTAAAATCACCAGGCACAAGGTAAATATGCACATAAGGCCTTTAAAGTGCAATCACTAGCCCAGTGATTATAAATTTGTGGTCCAAAAATGTCCTTCTTTGATTGTGTTGCCACAGCATTCATAAGTCAGGAACCCAATTTCAGGGTTGAGACATCTGATGCACTGACAGGGCAAGCCTAAGGGTGCGTTCAGACAGAGCACTGAGAGCGGTTTAAACTGCTCCAGTTCTGACCGGATTATATTTGATCTGGATAATCATGATCACACTCACCTCCTTATCCCAGCTCACTACGCAGTCACGTCTCTCCCCGCTGTCTACACTACCGGCGCGCAAAAACGTGTGCCGGTGGTTTTTTTTTTTAAAAAAATTCTCAGTTTGTGCATGCGCATAGGCAGTCATTCATAGAATCGAAATCTTCACACATGCGCAGAACAACTAGTTTCCCGCCAAAAGCATGCCCCGAAGGTGTCTCCAACCGCTGTAACAGAACACTTCCCTTTAAACTTTTGACCTGAAACTGGGCTCCATGAGATCCCAAACTCATCTAAACGCTAAAACGAGTCACCATTTAAACTTTGGTTTTATGAGCTTGGGAGCAGAGCTCCGCCTATGCGCACACCGTCGACACATTAAAAAATGGAGGGCGAAAAGCAGAAGCCTCGGGCTTCCGCGGCAGCTTTTTAGAGGGGAGGGGGTTGAGGCATCCAGAATTGGCTCGACACCGCAGGAGTGATCAGACATCGGAAACTGCGGCTTGAAACCGGAGAATCAGGAAAACACCAGAGGGGGAAGTTGTATCAAAATATTCCATTTTAAAGGGGGGTTTGAGCTGGAAAGTGACGCCTGGGGACGGTACACAGATGTTGGTGTGCGAACAGGCATACAAAACCCGTTACTGAAGCATGCCGAAAGCTGATCAAACAGCCCATCTGAACGCACCCTAAGAATACGGCCCATTAATTTCCCCTGCCAGACAGCAGCGACTGTGACTGATTATACGTGAACAAAGTGTGAGTCCAGTATTGCCTTTAAGACCAGCAAAGTTTAATTCTGGGTATAAGCTTGTGTGCTCGATAACTGAGTGATAAGTATTCCTAAGATTAGATTAGAGAAGAAGAAAAAGAAGAGATTGGATTTATACCCCGCCCTTCACTACCTGAAGGAGTCTCAGAGCGGCTTACAAACTCCTTTCCCTTCCCCTCCCCACAACAGACACCCTGTGAGGTTGGTGGGGCTGAGAGAGCTCTTGACAGAAACTGCTCTTTTTCAAGAACAGCTCTTATCAGAACTACAGCTTGCCCAAGGTCATCCAGCCAGGTGCAAGCGGAGGTGTGGGGAATCAAACCCGGTTGTCCCAGATTAGGTTGGGTGCACTTAACCACTGCACCCAACAGAGCAGTTGGTAAGGTCTGTGAATAGCAGCAAATTAACATACCGATAATAAAAGAATAAACAAACACATCTATTCATTAACTCTCATTAACTCTCTTATCTGTTTGCTAATTTGCTGCTATTCACAGGTTAGGGAGTTAACAAACCAATGTGTTTGCTTTTTTCTTTTATTATCTGTACGCTAATTTGCTGCTATTCACAGGTTTTACCATTTTAGTCCAATTTTAGCTATAATCGCTCAGTTACCTATATAGCTTGACTTTAATTAGCTTTTCCTGGTAACTAAGCCTCACCCCACCCCACCCCGTTTGTAATGGCTGTGAAAGTCTGTTTCAATGTATCTGAAGAAGTGAGCCTTGCACACGAAAGCTCATACCTTGAATAAACCTTTGTTGCTCTTAAAGGTGCCACTGGACTCAAGCTTTGGTCTGCTGCTTCTGAACAACATGGTTATATGAGTATATGATTATATGAGAGCATAAGATTACATGAGAGCCAGGTGGTGGTGTTTTCTTACGCTACAAGGGGATCTCTCCCAGAAAGGGACCAACAACCACTTCACCCTCCTGAATCCTTACTGGATTAAGGGGATCATTACCAATAGCTCCTGTTAAAATTATGGCTGAAAGTTGTTTGCAATGGTTTGCAATATACTCGAATAGGAAATGCAGCAAGTGCTGAATGGTGAGCCATTTCCTGGGTTTAGGGAAAGGATTCTTATAGTCCAAGATGATTCTACACCTCTTGGCAATTTATTAATAGATGTGAGAAGGATTCTGAGCAGACGTGCTTAGTGTGGCACCTGAGATGGAGCACATACCTCTGGAAAACAGCCCAAGGTCCTGTCAAAGCTGCAAACTTAAATTTGCCCATTTTGTGATTCACCCCCCCCCAGTGTAAATAATGCTTTAAGAATTTGGTGGACAATTACCATGTTTTCCATGTCCTTATTTTTTAAATCAGCTGGCCAGCACACATTATTACTGAGACTGACACA